TTCTCGGTTATTTTGTTCGCGGTAATGTCGTTTTTTGTATTCGCGGTAATGTCGTTCTCTGTATTCGCGGTAATGTCGTTCGCGGTAATGTCGCTGTATCCAATAAACATTTAGGGCTTTTCTTGTAAATTCTATAACTTTGCAAATAAAGGTCGTGTAGAGCTGGAAGATGTCTTATTTTAATCAGAATTTCGCGGGCTACAGTTATAACTTATTTAGAAAAACTCTTGGAGATTTTTCGAGGTTTCTCGAGAACCAGTTTTTTAGAAACCGGTTAGGAAAGGCCTATGGGCAAGAATGGCTATCATATTCAGAATCAGCATGGTCGATTACCTATCACCTACCGCATTTCGTTAGAAAAGCGGTAGCGGACACCCGGAAAAATTCCCTCGTCAGTAGATCATCGAAATTCCTGCCTTGTCCGTTTTACATAAAAAAACTCATAAACGAAATTTTCCCCTGAAATTTATTAAAGATTTGTTAGAAAGGATTTTCAAATCAATACATGTCTATTTCGTTCTCAAATAAATTTTACTTATAGAAAATTGCAGATCACTACAAGCAGGATAGTATGATGATTGAATTTTATTTTCAGTGTAAGTATTAAATGCGCTAATCGTTGAGAAAAATTTAATCACAACTGGCTGACGTTCGAGTTTTACTCGAGTACGAAATACGATTGTCGATTAGCGAGAGACTGATAATTCGTAGGAACGAACAACTATCTTCATGATTGAGCTGGCTACTTTTCTTCCTGATTCACATAACATATCTCAGTTCAATTACTACTTATTATGCTTGTTGGAAAAAAGAGACGAAAAAGTCATATCTATTGTGAGTTGTGTCTTGACTTCTAACTATACCGGCATTCTGTAAATAAATAATAAGACGTATAATCCTTTCCCTTCTTATTGTCCTGATGTTAATATTGTTGTCATTTGAATACACAAAAAAATCAAGAAGAATAAGAAGAAAAAAATATAAAATGATATCTTCTAAACAAGTGGATAGCTGGCAGATGTAGCAATACCACATTCGTTGCGTTTGTTACGGGTCATTTTGATGTAGCCTTGGTCACCCCAACTTACACCCCAACTAGAAATAATCATAAGATAAAATAGATGAAATATTCAATCAAAATCAAGTATAACAATTACCTATTTTTGACGAGCCAGTAATCTGTCCCAGATTCTGTACCATAACCCACAACAAGAACAGCAAGATTAAGATGAATTTGTGAGCAGAATAGTTCATGGTAGACTAAATTAATCAATTTGTTAAATTCAATGAAATGATTGAAAAATTGACGTAAATAGAAAAAATACATACCACCCTGTTTATATAATTGAAATGAGTTATGACTAGCATCAATGACAGCCGAGATTGGACCAATGGTAGCAACAGCTTCTTGAAGAGCACTTTCGTTTTTTGATGTTATATTCATGAAGCCAGTAATATTAGCACCAACACTTTCTGCTTTGAATCGACATAGATCATCATCGTCTTCATATGGATATGAGTCTTCAGTATCAATTCCACTGTTGTCTTTTATGTATTGGAAGGCTTGATTGGCCGTACCACCCACGCAACCCATGTTACCTTGTTTGGTTGAACAATCAATTAAGTTTTGTTCTGAGAGTGTAACTAGTTTGCCAGTTGCATTGAAGTGTTGACCTTCAAGTGAACCAGTTGCTGAGAAAGCCCAATCTGAAGTACATTGACCTTGCGTTTTAACAGGAGTAACATAACCTTTATCACGCCAGTCTAAAAGAAAATAATAAAATCGACGATTTTCTTCTACGAAAATACTAATAGAAATTATCTTCTGTACGACGATTTTACGTCGATAATTTCTATTAGTATTTATATGTTACCAACAGTGTCTGGTAATTTAACATTTGGATTTCGTGTAAATTCCCGACGGTCTTTGTTATGTTGACCACTCATATCGTAACTGTTCATCCTTTTGGTGTATTCAGTAACAGTCTAGATTTTCAATACAGAATAAAATTTTAGTAAAACGACTTTTATTGCGTACGTTCCCAAACGTAAGATGATATTAGTTCATTGAACACACAACCACAATTCTTCTACTCATGCAAAACGCGTAACTCTGCTGCCGGCATCTCTGTGCGTTACCGTTTTTTCTCTTTTCGTCTATCCCATAATATTCGGAAAGAACATTGTAGGATCCTGGAAAGCGTCTTGTTTTGTAGAATGAAGTGCGTTCTTCAAAATCTACCACTAGCTCAATTCAAAATAGTTGACGCTTTTTATGCTATACTTAAAATACGAAGGCTTTTAGTATTTCGATTGTAACCGAAAAGTCGTCAATTATTTCGAATTAAGCTAGTAGTACATTTTGAAGAACGCACTTCATTCTACAAAAACAAGACGCTTTCCAGGATTCTACGATACTCTTTTCGAATATTATATGATAGACGAAAAGAGAAAAAACGATAACGCACAGAGATTCCAATAGCGGAGTTACGCGTTTTGCTTGTACTGATATCAAGCAGAAAACTATACACATTTCACTTTAGTAGAAAAACTACAAAAAAAAAATGTGCACTTTCTACTTATATCCTGTAGAATAAATGAAGTTGTGTGTCTAATGAAAGAATAAAATTTGTATTGAATATCTATAAAATTTTACCAAATCAGCAAATTTATTCATTTCAAGCCAATATGTATAAACACCAAGATCAGCTTGAAGATTGTGTTCTTGTACTTTCTTTAAATTACTTTCCCATATAGATCGACTAAAAAATAAATTTTTTAATAATTAATAAACGAAATCTGTAGATTGAAATAACTATTCCATACCGGCTATGTTCTTCAGTATCGGAATAACGTTTACTATTAGTTTCTTTCCATAATTTCCAATGTTGGTTAAGTGTAACGTCGAGAGCTAATGTACTGCTAAAAGCGAGTACGAGAACAGCAAAAACCGCAATAGACTGCATCTATATTACAAAGTCAGAAAATGTTAACATTGAAAAACGGACTTTGAGGTTTTTTTAATCTCATCTTTTACTTACCTTCGTTTATTGTATAATAAAAGAGAGTGCGAGTTATTTGTGACTTTACACAATTTGTTATACCTTGCCTTTATCTTATTTCGCACGTGTTTTCTATATCATTATCTTTCATGATGAAGCATATTGTTATTATTCTCTTGCATACTCATAACTTCATCGTGTTGTTTAATGTTCTGCATTTACTCAAGACAAAAAGAAGACTGATATATACGAAACACTATCATCAAAGTGAAGGCATATTTTTTATTTGCACTTCAAAAAGAAAATTCTAGAATCACTCTGTTACACATTTATATAAATTGATGAGAAACTACCACAACATAACAAAGTATCACGACGGGAAAAAAGAGTTCTATTGATCAGAAAATTAATCAAGTAGAAAATTCAACAATAAAAACACCGCTATAGAGAACGAATTTGAACATGGCTGTCCTTAGCAACGAACTATCCTACACAAAAAAATTTCATACAGCCCTAATCCCTATTTATTTTTTCAGTACTAAATTTCCAACGTAACTATAAGAAATAAATTAATAATTTGAAAAATCGTCTCTGAAAAATGCGCTCAGCTACGTTGCAAAAGAGCCTTTTGAGAGAATGAAAAAAATGTATGTAGAGTGATATCAGCTGTTTATGATTGGTGACGAAAATTTGTTTATATAATCCTATATGGGAGAGTAGTGAGGCAAAAAAGTCAAAAATGTGGAAAACCTAACTGATTTACCTCCGTTGACTCTACATGTGTGATATTTTGGGTAGTTTGACTAATATATTGTATGATGGAAACTATTTTTTTTTCATTTCAAACTTCTAATTTTTATTGGCTATCATTTAATTGATCAGTAAAATAGATGAAATGGTCAGTAAGTGAAATAATTATAAAATCTAGTCAATTAATTACTGATCATTTTAGTACTGACCATTCAATATTTATACTGTTCATTAATATATTTTTTTTACTAGCCATTTCATCTATTTTACTGATCAAATATTATGTTCCCATTTTTATTTCAACCAAATATAATTATATAAATAATAACAAACGATTGTAAAAAATAATTATATTAATTAATATAGAAGTTCAGACAAATAATAAATCATCATCAATATTTCTATTGATTAACGTAATGAATAGTACAATAGATCAAAAAAGAACAATAACAAATTTCAATTGAGTAACAAACCCATTCATTAGGGATATGTGGCATCAGTTTCGCTTCTTTTAAACATAATCAAATGGCGACTTTTGTACATGTATTTATTATGATTTATATTCGATATAAAATGATAACAATACGCAAGTCTTTAATCTAACAAACAAGAATTAAAAAATTTGTCCATCAGACAGATACTTGCATTTTATTGGATTGATAACTATTAGAGATTATTGAGTAGTTATAAAAAAGTTGCATCATTCAATGTTTTTAATATATTATCTAACAGTCTTCAGGGCTTTTTGTGGCAGATTTGATTTTTTCTGACTTTAATATAAATGCTGGTATTTATTTCAACGTAAAATTGAAAGGAATGAGAATAAGAGGTAAAGGCAGATATCTAATTTAGAATGAGAATTGACTGTTTTAAACTATAGATTACTTCTGCAACAGTTAGAATATGTTATCAAAGATAAATTCAAAAGTTTCCATAAATCTAATAAATCTCGAAAAAATAAATTCCATTAGCCCTCCAATAATACTAAACGATTACAGACAAGTATTATGTGACAAAGTGTCTCGTGGACATCTGTCCTACCCAAGCAAATCTTAAAAAGCATAAAACGAGTGTGATAAGCAGTCAAAAATTTGCTTCATTCGAAACTCCTTCAAAATCTGATTTTCGAGAGAGCGTTCACATTTCTTCAGATTTGTTGATATTTAACATATAGCTCAAGCTAAATTTGATTTAATGACATTTAAATAATTATTTATCGTTCACTGATTGAAACAATGAGAACTTTTCGCTCGGATTTTCTGAGTGAATGCTTGAGATATAAGTAGGAGCGTTTTTCAAAATAAAATTTTCCATACTGACTGATTTTTGCTACAACTCGACGAAAACATATATATTCTGAAAGCTGCGCACTTGGGCTATTGATTCATAAAAAAAATTTTGTCCGAACGGGTTTGCGAAAAGGAAAGAACATGATTTTTATCTGCACGAGATGCCTTTCGGAAACATGTGCAATTGTTCCTCTATATGTGGCACGTCTAGATGAGATGCCAAAACTTGTCCAAACATTTCTGGGCGAAGTTGTAGATTTTACAAAAATCCTGGATTTTTATCGTTTTCTCACCTTTTTCTTAGTAAAAAAGTACCCTAGCTAAAAAGTAAGGACGGACATATTCGAAATCAGCGTCAAAAAATGCATCCGATGATGTATCCTTTTTCCGCTTTCAACGCATGTATGCTGAATTTTTCTGAAAATAGATTTTCCAAGATTTTTCTCTAAAGTTAAAGCTGCTGTTTTTGCACGGCATCTTGAGCGTTCGCAAATTGTGAAAACCAGTTTTCTATAGGTTTTCGGCCATAACGAATCTAATGGTGTTGTTGAAAAACTTTCAAAGTGGTTTTTGGAAGGTTTCTAAGAGACTGGATCTCTGGAAAGTCACCACAAAACCAGATGTTAGCTGGGATACGGATGCCATAAGAAAGAGCGCACACGAAAACCTATTAAAAACAAATTTTTCGGCTCAACGAAACGCTCTGAAACAAATTCCCACATGCCTATTGAAAATTGCCCACTGTGCCATAATGTAATTCTTCAGATATGTATGCCAGCTGTTTGACCTCGCTGCTTTACCGCTAATACGCTCGATGTTGAAAGGTCATCTCATTGTGTCAACAGTAACGACGAAGATTTAAACAAAGTCGATCGACATCCGAAAGGCCGTCAAAAAATAGATAGAGATGAAGAACCTGACGATACATCGGAACAAACATAAATATGTAAAAGTGTGCTGATTCGAACGTGAATGTGAGACAAAGCCATATCATTGTTGCATGTTGACTGAAACTCTCTAAGTTTCCTAAACAGCACCACAATATATTTTGTTTTTTGCTATTGTAGATAATTGATTGAAAACCCTCCCGCGCTTGGTCTGCAGAAGTGAAATGATTTGTGAGACTTGTTACACTCGTTAAGTGTTCAAACTCTTTTAGTAAGAAAGAACCAATCCTTTTTTCAGGCGCTCATTTGGCTGTATATACTGTTTTTCGGCTCTCTATCTTCTTCGTTGACTATTCCAAACTCGTGAAAAAAGCTTCGTAATAGCCAAAAAAATGTAGTCTACTCGAACATGAATTATTAAAGCGCCATGAGAGCATCCGTGAGAGCGAGTATAAAAATTGGGATTATGCGTCAAAAACTTGCTCTTCTCTATCTTCAGGACAACTGTGAGTTTTGAAATCTCCTCATACGAGACTAAAAGCAATATAAAAGCTAGGCTTTACAAGTAGTTTTGAAAGCTTTCATTCATATTTTTTTCATTAATTTTAATCGATTATTTATTTGTAATTGATTATAATCGATTCCGACGTTACAAATCGATCCTAATTGTTGCATTTCCACTTGATTACAGGATTATCGTCCGATAGCACTATAATCGATTATAATAAACGATTACCTGTTTTAAGTATCTGTTACATACTGGTAGCAGGGTACTTTTTCGGATACCCTGCACTCAGTACGTTCACTAGGATACAAGTTTATCTCCACTCAAATTCTTTGTTGAACAAAGAGAAATGATCAATTAGGAGGAAGGACACAGAAGAGGGTAGCCAGCGTGTATGTCTCAAAAGGAAGACTCATCTCCTTTCCTCTCGACTTTGGAAACAAAATCATTTCTTCTTAGCATTTTTTCTTTTGTTTATAAACTACTATCAATTAGAAAAAAATGGAATCAACATTTCGTGTGGCTCTTGAAAATTCGCAATATTGATTGTTTCCTCGATAGATAGCGTTATATAGTCGTCGATGATATTTTTATCAAATACCTGCTACTACTACTGAAACTTAATAAATACATTACTCTAGATTTCTCTTCTACTACATACAGACAGTATGTCCAACAATTCTCTAGATTCAAAATGGTGACAACAAGACTCATTGACGATGAATCTTAGAAAAACGAACACATGCTCTTGAGGGTTCGGTTTTGGTTCATTTCAATGGATAAGAGAAAATAAAACTAATTAGTGGATCGAATTTATAGCCTAAAATTTAAAACTTTTCCAGTTTTGTTTTTTTGTGCTTTGTATACGCTTCAAAATGTCGTCATGCGCTGAACACGAAGGTGAAGTCGAGTTTCATTAAAACTCCTAAAAATTCTGAAAACGTACTTCAGAAAACTCCCCAAGACCCGCATCAATTGTTTTGACTTTTCAAGTCAACCATCACAATTTGAGTGGAGATAAACTTGTATCCTAGTGAACGTACTGAGTGCAGGGTATCCGAAAAAGTACCCTGCTACCAGTATGTAACAGGTACTTTCGGGTACTTTGTCGGGTAGCCTGCTGATAGATTC